CAAAGCAGTTGTAACAGCAAATTGGTTATTTACTTATGGTTGAGAAGCTTTTTAAAATCTAACTTGTTAAATTTACACTAATAAATATAAAGTTTTCTATAAGTATTGAAAAAACACACCAAGATAATTTAAAAACCATCCGTCCCTCTTACCTAACTAAGTGAAAGCTAAAATGCACATGGACATAATGACCCAGCCATCAGTCCACTCCTAGGAACACCCAACAGAAATGTATACACGTGCTCATCAAACACATGGCAGGCATGGCCGGGAGGGCGTCCGCTCTGTTTCTTCATCAGAGAAGGTTCAGAGCAGCACTCTCCATAATAGGTCTAATTTGGAAACACCACAAATGTCCATTAGTCATAGACATTACAAATGTCCATCTCATTCAGTGGGATACTCGGTGCTAACGAGTGGATGAGCTACTCATAGCAACATGGGTGAATCTCACACTACCATGCCAGGCAGTGAAACCAAACAAGAGGAGTCAGCACTGTGATCCACTAAAAGTTTAGAAAACCAGACAAAACTAATATGCGATGTTGTAGGTCCCAGGGTTACCCTTGAGAGGTGCAGGAGAGGAGGAACTGGGAGCAGGCATGGCCGGAAGGGTATCCGCTCTGTTTCTTCATCTGGGTGCTGGTTACATGGGGGGGTTTACTTTATGACGATTAATCGAGCTGTTTACCTATCATTTAAACACTTCTCTGAATGTATGTTATACTTTAATTTTATGTAAAAATGCTAACCTTGACAACTTTATAAAACTCATACTTTCGTTGAACTAGCAGCTGAGGGCAGGTTTTCGTAATGTATGTTCTGTAATATTTTCATTTTTGATACTTCCTGTCATTGTAATTATACATAATCCATTCACAATTAAAATTAATTAAAATTATTTGGGAATTCTAAGGGACAGTGCTGAACCAAAGATGAGATGACGGGAATGGTCTGCCCCAGGTGCAGCAGTAAGAAGGTTTGTTGTCTGCAGAGAAGTTGACATGGCAAAACCACCTAAAAATCATACTATTTTTACTATTACTCTGGGTCCCTAGTTCTGAATAATGTTATCAGTAAAATACACCTCAAAAAGAAAAAATCTTTTATTCACCTAGTCCTAAACAGTTGCTAAAATTAGTGTTTTTATCTTGTGTGTGAGTGTGTGTGTGTGTGTATGTGTGTCTACTTCATTATTACACTTACTTATCTAGTATATTACTTACCCTTTACTCACCCTTTTGTTCATCTCTAGAATAAGTTCCTGACAGTTTGGAACCGTTCGAGCTGCTATCCCCAAGATACTGCTTCTTCCCATGGCTTAAACAGTAGATCCAGAAATGAACAGTGACAGCCCAGTGATTATGAAGACAAACAGAACTTGAGTTACTTTAACTCTATCATTCTCTGTTACTACTTTTGGAGTTTTGTATTTAAAACTGAAAATAGTGAAACCAAGTGCTAATTATTACTGAAAATAATTTTGTCAGAGGAAGGGGGTTTTAACAATGATCCACTCTAGTTGTCAAGGCCACTAGGGATGTGGCTGCTATGGGACAGCTACTTTTCCTAGCATTACTTAAGCATGGAAACTCAGAAAGATGAAAACATGGAAGTTGTGAAAATTTTCATGAAATATGCTAACATCAGATTATGGTGAATACCATTCTAATCTTGGTTAACATTTTGAAGCTGCAAATATTGATAGATTATTTTGTATATATACATGTCTATGCCTGCTTTAGAATTTAAGTATCCAAGTTTGCTTACGTTGTAAATCTTTAGCTTGAAAATAATGCCTGTGAAGTGAATAAAGTGAAAAATAGGGCATTAAAAAAATGAAAGAAAAGACAATATTGTGCCTTGGGAGTTGAGGTGAAATTCTTAAGAAACCTCCCTTCTGGTTAAATCATCGAAGAAAGTTGAGATTGATTGTTGTTAAAAATTAACCCAACTCCTTGTACTTTCCCTCTGACTCCACGCCCATTACTTCTTTCCCTGTGCTCCTTCCCACACTTGAGCCTTACACCAAACACCAAACTGCTTTTAATCGTTTACCAGTCTTTCAGAACAACTTATACTTCAAAAATAGTAAGTCTGTTTAAATTACAGTATTAATTGACAACGTATTTGTAGCCCATGAACACTCTTTTTTCAAAGCTGGAAATCTCTTTTAAAGTTGAAAGAAAGGAAAGTAAAAGTAATTTCTAAGGCACCTCTCCTGGCCACATGAAGTCATTATTACATCACTGTTAGGAAGCATCTTAACTATTCTTCAGCAGAGTATATATTAATTGTGGCGCTCTGCATATCGGAGTAATACAGCCACTAAAAAATATGGCTGTTCAGTTTTTTTAATGACTGTTCTTTTTAAAGCTGATATTCCATGTCAGTACCATATGTGAGCTTAAGATGTCATTATATGTATTTTCTTAAAGCAAGGTTTAGAAGAGTGCTACTGTTTGTGCCTAAACAGTATGCTTGGATACTTAAATGCTAGACAGCCCAAAGGACCCTTGAGAAACAGCCAACACTTACCTCTGGGGAGCTTGGCAAGGTCAGGGTTAGAAGTAAAAACTACAATCTTTTTCCATTTTGTTTTTTTCTTTATTTACCACGTGCATGTTTTTACTTAAAAAAAAAAATACTAAACCTTGGCACAAACTGTGTTATTTATAATAGTAAGTGCATAAATACCACCACCACCAAACACCTGAGCTGCTTCTCAGAGCCATGTGTTCTTAGCTAATGGCAGCGCCAGGCCAGGGGACAGCTGTCCTGAAAAGCTGGATGGCAATCCAGGGTCCGAGCGCCTGTGTGCCGATGATACATTGGTGCCTTTCTCCCCTGCAGACCGGAGCTCGGGCCAGGGGCTTCTTCAGCCCTGGGCAGCTCGGGTACAGATCTCAGGCAGGTTAAGACATCCATCGTTTTGGGCTCAGCTGCTCTTTTATGGATACCAAATGTCTGACCTTTGAATGTGAGAAAAGTGCACACCTGGGTATTTTTTTAAATTTATGATTTATGTACCATGTAATTCCAAAAAGCAAAATGTGAGGGAGTGTTACTACATTTACAGATAAAACTGGGCAAGTAGAAGTAAAAGCAAATTGGAACCCAGTAAAAGGAACTGTCTGCTGGTTGTTACTAGCTATTAGAAGTACCTGGGATAAGTTAATTACTGTAGTAGGTAAGTGCTGAATTTAGCTTTGAATTTCTTGGCACATAAGAAAAAAAGAGAAAATATAAAATATATGGCTTTTCTTATTTAAAGCCGGAAAATACAAAGTTTTGCCTCAGGAAATAGACATTTTCCTGATACTTAATAAAAAGGAAATTCAAATGCAGATCCTTATTTAAAATATATATAGGGATGACTCAGGCCTTCTAGGTGGTTAGTGCCTGTCAAGGTACTAAAATTAGCCAGTCAAAAGGTACCAAACCTCACAGATTCAGCCTCATCGGAGCATCAGATCAGCAGCCACCGCAGTTGACTGCAGTGACTGTGAGCATCCTCCTCTGATGGCTTTGACGTTGTCTCCAAGCTGGGCCAGGGCTGCCTTTTGGAATGCGGATCTGATCATAAACTGTCACTGTCCCCATCCTCTGTACTTACAGCTTCTGTGCCCCTTAGTTTTAGGATATCAGGCCCAAACCTCCTGCCTCCCCAGCCTCTCCTGTACCCTCTCTTCCTTGCTCTCTCTGTTCCAGTCTCTTTTAGTGCTTGGTTCTGGTCATGCCCTTTGTGCACCGCTTGCTCTGCCTGCCGAGGTCAGCTCTTCACTGGATCTGAGCTGCAACATCCTCGGAGGGCCCCCACCCCACTGTTGTTCTCCTGTGCCACTGTGCCTCTTGGGTGCTTATCTCTGCTGCGATGTCCTCCCTGCTAAACCATAAGCCCTATGACAGCAGGGACTGGCTCAGCCCTTGCTCCCTCTTTGGTCCCCAGCTCTACACCCAGTGCCTGGGGTGCAGTAGGGGGTCAGTAGATAGTTAAGGGCAGGGAGCTGTCCCTCAGTGATGCAGTAGAAGCCGCAGCCTCCCAGCCTCTCTGCTGTAGGCATTACACCCTCCTGACATGCTTCTCCTGAAAGCACATCTCTGGTCACATCACTAACTTGTGCCGAACTTTCAAGGGGTCGCCATTTCCTACCAGATACAAGCCACACCCGCAGGCAGCCCTCCACGACCTGGCCCTGGCTGCATTTCCCCAGCTGTTGCTCCCCGTCGCCTCAGACCTTGTATCCTAGCAAGAATGGAGCCCTCCGGCTGATTCTGGCCACAGTGTTCCCTTGGCCCTTCTTTGCAAGTTCCCATCTGCACCATCCCTTACGGAATACCCCTAACTGTTGAAAGTAATGCCTCCCATTGTCTGAACTCTGAGTACCTTTGATGTGGTGCTTATTTTCTATCTAAATTCTAGCTGTTCTAGGTACATAACTCTCATATCAGGTTATGGTCCCATGTAGTATCTAGCATGAGTCCCACATAGTATGTGATCATAAAAATATGTTAAATGAGTAGGAATTTGTATGAATTATTTACCATCCTTGTAAGCCAGTCTTAATAGGAACCATTTTTCCTCCAGATGCTGTAATTTGTAATGAAGTTTCTCTTTTTAGGTATATAACAGATAGCCAGCCAGCTACAGGGTCTCCTGTTCTCTATCTCTACAGATTAGTGACTATGAATCCAATTCATATACTGCTTTCTACACATATTTCAAAGACCTTATGGAACTTTTATTACAAGGGTACAGTATTATTCTATATTGAATGCAAGAAAAATGGATAGATAACATGTAGCATGTCCTTTCAAGGAAGGACTCTCTTTAAAAATGACCAGTGGGCCGTTGAACTTGTTTCTAGATGCATCACCAAGCCACTCCTGCCCTGCACTGAACCAGAAGGGGTGGTGGTGGGGGCGGGTCTTACCCTGACACACTGCTTGTTGCCATGACTGAGGAGAGAATAACTCCATCTCCATTTCATTCCCAACAGGCTGACTTAAACTGCAATATTCAAGATGACGCTGGGGCTTTTTATGGTGTAACCAGTCAATATGAGAGCTCTGAAAATATGACAGTCACCTGTTCCACCAAAGTTTGCTCCTTTGGGAAGCAAGTAGTAGAAAAAGTAGAGGTAAGTTCTGTGTACCAGAACCTTCATTCAAGGGCAGCCAGACGGTTGTTGCCTTTAAAAACCCTTTTGGGACAGAGAGTTTTACTTCTTTGGTGTCCCCTCCTCCCTCTCTGCCCTTCTTCTGCTTCTTCGCCCCTTTATTTCTGAAAAGGCAAAGCTCTTTGAGAGCAACTGAAAGGAGGCAGGGAGGGAGTCCCAGGCCAGCCCTCCCTGACCCTGTGCGGTTGACCTGGCCCTGCCTGGTCAGCAGTGGTCAGGCCTTCATGAGGCCTGACCCCAGCGTGGGAGCTGGGTAGAGACGGGCCCTGCTGTCCATCAGATGATGCCCTCCCACCCTCAGGTCCCCGGGCACTTCCAGGCATCATGGATGACACCCGAGTTGGCAATCCGCTGACAGGCACCTGCCTGCCCAAACTTTGACAGGCTTGGGTTTAGAATTAAGTGCCTTTGCCATTCCCACTCCTTTCGTTTGGATTGTTTTAAATATTTATGTGAGCTTAAGATGTCATTATATGTATTTTCTTAAAGCAAGGTTTAGAAGAGTGCTACTGTTTGTGCCTAAACAGTATGCTTGGATACTTAAATGCTAGACAGCCCAAAGGACCCTTGAGAAACAGCCAACACTTACCTCTGGGGAGCTTGGCAAGGTCAGGGTTAGAAGTAAAAACTACAATCTTTTTCCATTTTGTTTTTTTCTTTATTTACCACGTGCATGTTTTTACTTAAAAAAAAAAATACTAAACCTTGGCACAAACTGTGTTATTTATAATAGTAAGTGCATAAATACCACCACCACCAAACACCTGAGCTGCTTCTCAGAGCCATGTGTTCTTAGCTAATGGCAGCGCCAGGCCAGGGGACAGCTGTCCTGAAAAGCTGGATGGCAATCCAGGGTCCGAGCGCCTGTGTGCCGATGATACATTGGTGCCTTTCTCCCCTGCAGACCGGAGCTCGGGCCAGGGGCTTCTTCAGCCCTGGGCAGCTCGGGTACAGATCTCAGGCAGGTTAAGACATCCATCGTTTTGGGCTCAGCTGCTCTTTTATGGATACCAAATGTCTGACCTTTGAATGTGAGAAAAGTGCACACCTGGGTATTTTTTTAAATTTATGATTTATGTACCATGTAATTCCAAAAAGCAAAATGTGAGGGAGTGTTACTACATTTACAGATAAAACTGGGCAAGTAGAAGTAAAAGCAAATTGGAACCCAGTAAAAGGAACTGTCTGCTGGTTGTTACTAGCTATTAGAAGTACCTGGGATAAGTTAATTACTGTAGTAGGTAAGTGCTGAATTTAGCTTTGAATTTCTTGGCACATAAGAAAAAAAGAGAAAATATAAAATATATGGCTTTTCTTATTTAAAGCCGGAAAATACAAAGTTTTGCCTCAGGAAATAGACATTTTCCTGATACTTAATAAAAAGGAAATTCAAATGCAGATCCTTATTTAAAATATATATAGGGATGACTCAGGCCTTCTAGGTGGTTAGTGCCTGTCAAGGTACTAAAATTAGCCAGTCAAAAGGTACCAAACCTCACAGATTCAGCCTCATCGGAGCATCAGATCAGCAGCCACCGCAGTTGACTGCAGTGACTGTGAGCATCCTCCTCTGATGGCTTTGACGTTGTCTCCAAGCTGGGCCAGGGCTGCCTTTTGGAATGCGGATCTGATCATAAACTGTCACTGTCCCCATCCTCTGTACTTACAGCTTCTGTGCCCCTTAGTTTTAGGATATCAGGCCCAAACCTCCTGCCTCCCCAGCCTCTCCTGTACCCTCTCTTCCTTGCTCTCTCTGTTCCAGTCTCTTTTAGTGCTTGGTTCTGGTCATGCCCTTTGTGCACCGCTTGCTCTGCCTGCCGAGGTCAGCTCTTCACTGGATCTGAGCTGCAACATCCTCGGAGGGCCCCCACCCCACTGTTGTTCTCCTGTGCCACTGTGCCTCTTGGGTGCTTATCTCTGCTGCGATGTCCTCCCTGCTAAACCATAAGCCCTATGACAGCAGGGACTGGCTCAGCCCTTGCTCCCTCTTTGGTCCCCAGCTCTACACCCAGTGCCTGGGGTGCAGTAGGGGGTCAGTAGATAGTTAAGGGCAGGGAGCTGTCCCTCAGTGATGCAGTAGAAGCCGCAGCCTCCCAGCCTCTCTGCTGTAGGCATTACACCCTCCTGACATGCTTCTCCTGAAAGCACATCTCTGGTCACATCACTAACTTGTGCCGAACTTTCAAGGGGTCGCCATTTCCTACCAGATACAAGCCACACCCGCAGGCAGCCCTCCACGACCTGGCCCTGGCTGCATTTCCCCAGCTGTTGCTCCCCGTCGCCTCAGACCTTGTATCCTAGCAAGAATGGAGCCCTCCGGCTGATTCTGGCCACAGTGTTCCCTTGGCCCTTCTTTGCAAGTTCCCATCTGCACCATCCCTTACGGAATACCCCTAACTGTTGAAAGTAATGCCTCCCATTGTCTGAACTCTGAGTACCTTTGATGTGGTGCTTATTTTCTATCTAAATTCTAGCTGTTCTAGGTACATAACTCTCATATCAGGTTATGGTCCCATGTAGTATCTAGCATGAGTCCCACATAGTATGTGATCATAAAAATATGTTAAATGAGTAGGAATTTGTATGAATTATTTACCATCCTTGTAAGCCAGTCTTAATAGGAACCATTTTTCCTCCAGATGCTGTAATTTGTAATGAAGTTTCTCTTTTTAGGTATATAACAGATAGCCAGCCAGCTACAGGGTCTCCTGTTCTCTATCTCTACAGATTAGTGACTATGAATCCAATTCATATACTGCTTTCTACACATATTTCAAAGACCTTATGGAACTTTTATTACAAGGGTACAGTATTATTCTATATTGAATGCAAGAAAAATGGATAGATAACATGTAGCATGTCCTTTCAAGGAAGGACTCTCTTTAAAAATGACCAGTGGGCCGTTGAACTTGTTTCTAGATGCATCACCAAGCCACTCCTGCCCTGCACTGAACCAGAAGGGGTGGTGGTGGGGGCGGGTCTTACCCTGACACACTGCTTGTTGCCATGACTGAGGAGAGAATAACTCCATCTCCATTTCATTCCCAACAGGCTGACTTAAACTGCAATATTCAAGATGACGCTGGGGCTTTTTATGGTGTAACCAGTCAATATGAGAGCTCTGAAAATATGACAGTCACCTGTTCCACCAAAGTTTGCTCCTTTGGGAAGCAAGTAGTAGAAAAAGTAGAGGTAAGTTCTGTGTACCAGAACCTTCATTCAAGGGCAGCCAGACGGTTGTTGCCTTTAAAAACCCTTTTGGGACAGAGAGTTTTACTTCTTTGGTGTCCCCTCCTCCCTCTCTGCCCTTCTTCTGCTTCTTCGCCCCTTTATTTCTGAAAAGGCAAAGCTCTTTGAGAGCAACTGAAAGGAGGCAGGGAGGGAGTCCCAGGCCAGCCCTCCCTGACCCTGTGCGGTTGACCTGGCCCTGCCTGATCAGCAGTGGTCAGGCCTTCATGAGGCCTGACCCCAGCGTGGGAGCTGGGTAGAGACGGGCCCTGCTGTCCATCAGATGATGCCCTCCCACCCTCAGGTCCCCGGGCACTTCCAGGCATCATGGATGACACCCGAGTTGGCAATCCGCTGACAGGCACCTGCCTGCCCAAACTTTGACAGGCTTGGGTTTAGAATTAAGTGCCTTTGCCATTCCCACTCCTTTCGTTTGGATTGTTTTAAATATGTTTCAGGACATCCTGGGATCAAATACCTATTTATGCCTTGTGTATTTCATGCCTCCCTCCCTTTGAAAAAATGTATGTATGTTTCACCAGGGTAGGTGGCTTTGTGTGAGTAATGTTTGCAGTTGATTTAAAGTTGTATTTTTCAGTGTCTTCTACCCATCGATCCAAGTTCATGAGCATTTTTTGTTCATGATGGTCCTGGGTCTCGCAGGTTCAGGAACCCAACCTGACTGTCACAAAGACTTTGTGACAAAGCATGAGAGAGAGAAGGCATTTTTGTTCAGACTTTGGGCTGAACAATGAGGATTTGGGATGCTGCAGGCTCTCAGAGCCTCCTGAGTACAGGATGGCCACCCCAAGAATGATGTTGGGGAGGGTTATGCTGGCAGAAGAGGACAGAAGTGAGTCAACTAGATGGTCAGTGTCAACTTAGGGGTCCTGAGCTTTCCTAAAACGGTGGCAGTGGAAAGCCAGTAAGACCTTTGAATGAAACTTAGTAACTGACTGGAGATCACAGAGGTGAGTCAAAGGTCACACGTTTTATGTTTGAAAGGAGAGTGCTGCCACCAGCAGAGAGAAGTAAATAAGGTGTTCAAGAGAAAATAGTCAGGGGACAATGACAGATGCAAGACTGGAATTGAGGAGATAGCTAAAGACTGAAAATACCAGTTGGGAGCTCTTTTAGGGGTCCCTGACCCAATTCCAACACGGGAGGGTGGGTTCCCCACAGCTCCAGCAGGCATCTCGCAGACACCAGCAGTGTGCCAGAACTCATGCCTGACACTGTCTGCCTGGAGGGAGCATCAGGTTCCACAGGTTGTGTTCAGTCGTACAAAACTCTCCCCCTGACCAGTTCAGATGCTGGTCTCAAGCCCCAGGCTGTTACCTGTGCTGAACAACCAGCCGCAGGTTAGAGGTTCCCGTGACCTCCTCCTGAGGTCTGATTACTTTGCTAGAGAGGCTCACAGAACTCAGGGAAACACTTACTTATGTTTATTAGAGGATTTATGTTTATTAAAGGGTGTGATACACTTACTAGCTTATTAAAGGATGTGAATCAACAACAAGATGAAGAGATACACAGAGTGAGGTCCTGAACCAGGAGCTTCTGTCCTCATGTAGCTTGGGGCCCAGCTTGGTAGCATGTGGAAGCAGTTCTGGTTCCCCAAGTGTGGAAGCTCCCTGAAAAGGGCCAAAAAAGCTGTTCTCTTGGGGTTTTTGGAGGCTTCATTGCACAGTATGACTGACTAAGTTATTGACCGTTGGCTGACTATACCGCCAGCCCCCCTGCCCTGCCCAGAGGTGAGAGGCAGGACTCCAGGCGCATGGCTGGCCTTCCTGGCACCCAGCCCTTACCTTCGGGTAGGGGCCACAAGTCACCTTCTTTAATAACAAGACACCCATTTCTCCTTTGTGGCTCTTTAGTGTTTTGGAGAATGGTGGATGAAGTTCAAATATATCTGAGGAATTTATCTTGGTCATCTGAAAAACCAATTACGTATTTCTTACAAATCATGTTATTGTAGGAATTCTAAGCATTAAGGATAATTAAAGATATGGAAATGGAGAACTAGCAGAAAAGGGGGAATAGCAAGAGCACAGGAACAAGGATTTAAATTTGGGCAACAGTAGCTTGCTCTGGGGTGAGTGGAAGGGAGACCCAAACAGAGGAGCAGAGGACAGAAATGGATGGAGGAGGAGGGGAACTGGCTGGACATAGTATCTGGGGAGCCCAGGAGAGGGTAGGTGAGTGGGTCGCTGAATTATGAGACAGTGTTGGGAGACCAAACCAGACGACTCCATTTGGTGGTTGAAAATGTGGAAATGTTAGTATTAGGCATTACTTACCAAATAGCCAAGTTATTAGGGCTTATCTGCAAATGGACTTCCTGGCTGGATGGGTACGTGTGAGAAAAGGTGAACCAGACAGGCTGCTCACTTTCCCAAGTTTCAAATTATTCTTCACTGTGTCCTCACATATCATACCCAAAGATCTGCCTAAGTTCAGGTAACAGGGAAGGGTTGCTATTGATTGATGAAATCCCAGGAATGTTCATGGAAAAGTTGATATGAGTTTTATATACATAAGTATGTGTGTGTGTATGTACATCCATAAATATAAATGTATGGTGTACATATATATTTATATAAATTTTCATGTATAGTAGGTTGACTTTTATAATTAAGCCTTTAGTCCATTTAGTCTGTATCTCTGCATTTGGAATAAAATGGGAGTCTTTATATTTTCTTCTAAATAGATGGCCATTTGTGTCAAAACCTTTTATTAAATGAGCATCCTTTCCTTACTGAATAGATGTGTCCCCTTTAAGTTACTGCATATACTGGGCACTGTTCTCTGGTCTATTCTACCCTCTATCTCTACATGCCCCAATATGATACTGATTTGATTACATGGGCTTTAGAGTGTATTCTTATATCTGCTGAGGCAAGCAATCTCACTATTCTTTCTCATATATTTTTTAGGCTTAGTAACCACCATTTATTCTTCCAAATAATAAGATCATTTTAAAAATGAAAAAAAACCCAAAACCTTGTTCATGCAGTCTAATTCTAGTTGCGTTAGATTTAGATACTATTTTGGTATAAATTGATGTATTATTGATATTATTTTTCCAATTGAGAACCTATTTGTATTACATGTCTCATTTTATCTATATTAGTAAGTTTTTATACTTTTTACATAGAGATTTATCCCTTTCTTCTTAAATATATTTTTAAATATTATGGAATTTGTTAATGCAATTTTCCATTTCTAGATTTGAATTACCAGAGTAGAGAAAAGCTTTTGGTTTTTGCATATCTATGTTCTTGCTGGCCATCCTGCCATTTTCTCCTGTTTTGTCACTAATGGGGTTTTTTCCCTAATTATCAACAGCAGAAAAGGAAGGCCTTATTTTTTTTATCTCCTTTTCCAATGCTTATGTCACCTTTTTTATTCTTATTTACTCACCTTTTTTTTCATTTGCTAAAACCTCCCACAGAGTTGTAAAAGAAATATAAGAAATAGTGATGGTGAGTATCTTTGTACTATAGTTACTAATGTTAGTAGAAATGGTTTTAGTCTTTGCTGTTTAGGATTATATTTATTCTTGGTTTTTATAAATGGTCTTTATTTCACATTTCAGTGCTTTCTTTCTGTTCCTATTTTACTTAGAGATTTATTAGTAATAGCTGCAATATTTTGCCAAATTCCTTTTCAGCAGTTATGAGTACATGGTTTTTCTTCAAATTGTTGACATCACGAGTTAATACATGTCTGTGTGTGAACCACCACAGTATTCCTGAAGAAAGTCCAACTTTAGATACATTGATGCAGTCTGCTATTTTACATAAAATGTTTGCATCTCATAGGCGACATTAGTCTGTACTTTGCATTTTTATAATCACTTTATTTAATTTCAGTATATGTCCATCAGTTTCATAAAAAGAACTGGGGCACCTGCCTCTTTCTGTGGGCTGGCATGGTATGAGTAACATCGAATGTAACTGTTCCTCCAAGGTTACTGAAAACTGAGTTGTGAAACCATTTGGTCTTCGTACCTTTTTCAGTGACTGATCTCTAAACAACTTGTAGTCAACTTCCACAGTAGCTGACCGGTTGGAGTTTTCTGCATTTTAGTTTAGCATCAGCAATTTGTATTTTGCTGGGGAAGTCACCCTCTAGGTTTTCTTTGTGTTTTGTTTTTGTTGTTTGTTAGATTGTTTGAATTTTTTTTTTTTTTTTGCCTTACAGTTATATGAAGTAACCTCTTACAAATTTCCTAATCTCTACTATAATTGTGATTTTTGTGGTTTTGTCTTTTTCCTTTTCCTTAAGCTTGTGAAGATTTTATCTTTTTAAAGAAAAAGTTTTTATGTTTACTCTGTCTGCATTTTTAATTTCTGTTATGTTTATTTGAGCTTTTATCTTTATTAATTTCCCATTCCTGGTTTCCTCGGTTTCTTTGTGGTTTTGGCTTATTTTGTGACGTTTTTAAAAAAAATTTCTAGTTCAGTAATTTTCCATCTTTAATGAAAACATGAAGCTACTTTATTATGTTTTCACCAAGTGTAGCTTCACTGAAGTCCCATAAGTTCTGATGTATTTTCCTTTGCATTACTCTTTAGATAGTTTATCATTTCCTTTTTAATTCTTTGATTCAAGGTTATCTAGGAGTGTTTCTTATTCAGGGTGCTTCAGTGGGGTCTGCATATTGCATATATCCCAGTATTTTCTTTCTTTCTTTTTTTTATTAAGGACATAAATAACTAACAGTCAAGGGGTTCATGATTAGGGTGAGGTAGTTTTTCCTAAAGCAGAGAAATTAGCTACAATGGTTGTAGGCCTATGAGGCCTTATCATTAGCAAAGAAGGATTTTCTTTGACTCTGAAGAACTGGAGCTGGCTGGCCTGCTCTCATGGGTCTTCAGGATCACTAAGCAGGTGGTTATTTTTTTTTTCTGACCTTTGCCTAAAGGATTTATGTAACTCCTCTTTAAAGTTATCATCTTTCCAACGTTTTTTTGAATTTCCCCCAAAATAATGGACTCTCAGTGTGGTATTAAGTTTGGAAAGAGGATTTTTTTAAATTAAGCAAACTATATAAATGGTACGGCATTTGGCAGATGATTCATGTTGAAAAAGTAAAGTGCTTTTACAGCCAGTAGCATCTTTTTCATACATTCTGAAGTCAAAGTGTAAAAATGCTTAAATCCTTTTTCCCCTCACAGACGGAGTATGCAAGGTTTGAGAATGGCCGATTTGTATACCGAATAAACCGCTCCCCGATGTGTGAATATATGATCAACTTCATCCACAAGCTCAAACACTTACCAGAGAAATATATGATGAACAGTGTTTTGGAAAACTTCACAATTTTATTGGTAACTGTTTCGTCTCTTGTTTTTGGCAGAACCAGCTGTGAAGCTGGTGGGCAAAGAGAGGAAGGTAGGCCTGGGAAGCACCAGGCCTGGGTCAGGTGAACTGGCCAGGCTGTTTGGCTGGGCCCAAGGTCACCATTAATTCACAGCATCCTTGGGAAGAACTTGGGCTTGATTTGGGCTTAAGTCTATAGAAGAACAGGGGTCTCATCTAGCTTGGTTTTCTAAGCTTGGCAGAACTGGAATTCAGGTGGGTAACTAAAAAGTGATGGTCCTAGGTTCTCAACTCTGGCTGTACATTAGAAAGATCTAGAGAACTTAAAAAAATCCTAACAGCAAGGCTGCATCCTAAATCAGCTACATCTCTGGGGATAGGATTCAGGCATGTATGTGTATTTTTTAATTACTCTAGGTAATTCAGTGTTAGCCACGTTTGGGTCTCAGCAGCAACATGATATGCAAATCATGAATGAGGCAAAACTGAGTCAATAGGTTTGTATTTCAAACATGCCTTGACTCATTTCATGAAGGATTGCAGGGCCTTCTAAGAAGTAACAGCAAAATATTGAAGTACTAGGAGAAATAATAGAATAGAATGTTGCGACCAGCAACAGGGGAAAACGTTCTCCATAGGCTGAAAAGTATGGTCAAAACTTAACAGGCAGCTAAAGAGAAAAGAGAAAAAAACGGTATTCAGGGTCCATGGTGGGGAAACTTTCTGGTTCCCATGGACAATGCTGTGTGTGTGTGTGTTGTGGGGGGGTGGTCCCTAATACTTTAAAACAAATTTCTCATGGGGGCTTCCCTTGTGGATTTGAGAAGGTTATTAAGAACAGTATTGTCCTCATAGTATACCTATAAAACATGCATTAGTGCGTTTTATAAGGCTCATTTTTAAAAAAAAATGACATTCCTTGACTAAAGTGAAGGAAAAAATGCCAAAACAGGACTTGATGGAAACAATTTTGCTAAAGGGGCAGCCAGATAATACTGTGGTCCAATATTCAGCCTTCTGAAGGCCTGCTCTTGTTACTCCTTGTGGTTAGGATTAAGAATTAGAATACTTGGAGCAAGAATTCTTTAGCTGGAAGTTTTGGATCCAGTGAGACCATGGTTCTAGTGGTGGGCTGGTTAAAAGAAAAAAAAGCCTCTAGCTCACCCCCCCAGAAACCCTGATTTATAGCTTTTGCCCATTTCTGTGGTGTAAATATACCTTCCATGGCAATTTCAAGTTACCAGTGGTTGTCCAGTTCATGAAATTCCTTGATATTTAATAATACCTTTAAGAGCTAGTAGGAGCGAGCCAGTTCCCTCACACCAATTAAAAAACAAAAATTAATAAACAAAAAATTTTAAATGAAAATCCTTCTGCATATCAGATTCACCCAGGAAGCGTTTAAAAATTCTGAGGCCTGGGCCCCACCTCGAATGAGTAAAATCAGAATCCCGGTGGTGCCCAGCAAAATGGTTTCATTTGCCAATTTTTTACAGCTCCCAGGTAGTAGTTATCCAGCAGAGCAGGAGTTGAGACCCAGGGCCATAGGGGATTGGCAAATGACCTGCCGAGTCTCAGAGTTCACAAACACATGGTTGGCATACAATTGGCAGGTCAGTTTGTGTATCTTTTTCATTTATTCCAGGGAGAGAATCTCAGTGGGTGCTTGAGTGTGTCCACATCCCTCTAAATTTAGAAATTAACTATCTGGGAGAATGTTTGGAAAACATATTCTTTAAAACTTACTCATTAGTATCCTTTTCTCTAATGGACTTTGGTGAAAAGAGAGCAATTCAGGGTTAGGGTGCTGGCAGGTACTTGTCATATAAGAGCCCTCTGTGCTATTCAAGAACAGACCCCCTTAGTGCTCAGATGAACCAGAAGGGGAGTGTGGCATCCTGGTGTGACATTAGACAGCCTCAGGAGTGACCAGAACTCTGAATGGATGGCCACCACCCTACCTCTCTTGGAAGGAGTCTCAGCTGTTCCTTAAAAGTGAAGTCTGAGTCTGTTTCAGCATTTTAAGTAATGTGTTCTCAGTCTCTATAAAGGCCTATGTCACAGAGCAAAGGAAATAGGACCTGGAAAAAAATTTAAAGTATCTGTTATGCACAAATCTCATGTAACTATATCAGTAATGCTCCCTTGGAACGTGTGACTCTAAGCAGCATAGCTGTCCAGAGAAGATACAATATTAAAGTAATTTCAAAATGTATCATTAAGCAATTAATAAATAAGTTCATTTGATAAGGAGAATTAACTGATAAGGAGAAATATCTGCTAGAAATAACCTTTTAGCTTGAGAAAAGCTGAAATGAAGCCAGCTCTCCTGGATTATGAGAATACAATCTTCTCATTGATAAATGTAAGAAATAATACCTTTCAGCTCTTCTTCACGGGTGGGACATAGGAACATGGGCAGGATGGTAGATGCTGGACGCAGTTGTAGTATTTTACTAGATACACTGGATACAAAGCCTGTGTCAACAAGACCAGTTCCAGACTTTACTAGCTGGTAGGCTAGACTCCCTGCTTTCATCAGGATGATTCAGGTTTGAGGTGAACCTATAGGTACAGGGCCTTAGTGACTGTATGCAGGAAACTAGCAAATGAGCTGTAGGACAAGATTCCTGTCGTCCTTTGAGGCTGTAGTCAGGCATACAAGTCACTAAAAACATTTTTTTCTTCCATCTCAATCTCAGTCATGAAGCCTGAAGAGGATATATTCTTTATAGGAAATTTGCAAGAAGGTAGGATAGATACAGAACTTCCAGTAATGGTAGTAAATCTTTTGTAAATATTATATTCTGAAATTCTCACTGCAGAATTATGAGGTCATTTTTATTCTCATTTTGTGGATAAAGAATGTAAAGCCTCCCTGAGGTTGGAGAGCCACTGATAGATCTAAATTAAGTCTTGAATTGATGGAAAAAACACTTTGCAGGGTATTTCATGAACATAGAATCAGAAAACGGGGGTTTAAAACCTAGCTCTACTTTATCACCTCAGATAAGTCATTTAAAGTCTCCAGACCTCAGCTTCCTCCTTCATTTGCCAAAAATGCTCATGTCCGTCCTCTCTACCTCAGAGGTTGCTGAGGAGGTTTTAAGTCATTCAGCTAAACTATGGAGAGATTGTACTGGCTGCTGGGATATAATCCAGATAAAGCACAATGCTTATCCAAGTAAATGGTGGCCTTGTGAGGGAGAGAGGCAGGTAAATAAATGACTTCCATACAAGGTAATAATGGCTGTAGGGTTGTTGTGAATCCTGCACTGTGGAAAGAGAGTAGTTTGACTTGCGGAACAGATACCTGTACTTGGAGTGAGGTGGGGAATTCCCACGGTTTTACAAAATGATGTTTAAGTAGCCTTGATGGATAAACAGACATTTTCCAGAGTCACCAAGAAAAGAGTTGTCCCCTGGGTCAGCTGCTGGATGTGGTGGCTAGATGGGCAGGGCAGCCGTCCTAGAGTTTGAGGGAGGCAGGCTTTCTTCAAGTAATCACAAAATGAATGTACACTAAACTGTGGCTAAGGGCTGGCAGAGGTGGGCACATGGTGCTAAGAGAGCATCTAATAGGGGGATTCAACCTAATGCAGGAGGTCAGGGAGGCTTCCCTGAGGAGGAAACAATTGAGAGGTACCTGCCAGACGAACAGGGAGGGAGGGCACGGAAGGGTAAGGCAGATAGTCAGGAACAGGGCAGCAGGCCTGGAAGCAGGGCGGGGTGGCCCCGAGAGGGAGAGCAGGGCCAGAGAGCTGCCTGGCAGGGCAGGGTCTCCTTGACCTTGAAGGATGACAAGAGGCTTTCTCTTCAAACTAAAGTTTTAAAGTTTAAAAGAGACCATGAAGGTTTTTAAGCAAGAGTGTGTTATTGTCAGGTTTAGACTTCTGGTACAGAGGGAGGACTATGGGTAAGGCTGGTCCCTGGTGGAGGGGTCCAGGTGAGATGTGCTGGTCCCTGGGTGGGGGCTGGGTTCAGGAACTATCCAGGAGGTAGAAGGCAGCAGGCCACGGCATTTGTGTGGATGTGAGATGAGGAAGAGAAAGACCCCACAGATGAAAGGTCTGCATTCTTGGAGTATTTCGTCTGTAGGGGGAGTGGCCAGAAGACTAGAAAAGCAGGTGGGTACCAGTACTGAGAAAAAAAATCTTTATTACCCAGACAAAAATATGTATTGATAATCCAACCCTGTATCAGTTCTTTTCCAACAGCATGACATAATAGTTAAGAAAAAGGCCTTTAGAACCAGAAGATCTGGGTTTCTTAGTTGACAAGTGTATAACCTTCAACAATCCCCCAGCCTCTTTCTGTCAGAGGGGAGTGACACAGCACCTGCTCAGAGTTGGAATGTTATATGAGACACTGTGTGTAAAGCATTTAATACTGAGTAGATGCGTACTTAGCATTCTATACATTGGCTTGTTAGGATGTCAGTTTTGACTCATGCAGCAGATATTGATTAAATAAATGACTGTTGTGTGCCAAGCACTAAGCTAGATACTGGGAAACATGGTGCCTATTCTTCAGGAACTTACAGCCCACTGGATGAGGTGGGCATTAAAAAAGAATCATGGGGATCTGTGTGCTTACCAACAGTACAGTGTGCTGTGGTGGGAAAATTACAATACGATGAGACTTTACTCTTTAGTCAGGGATCATAAACTTGGATGCCTTTAGGGAAAGGAAACTAAAAGGGTAAAGCAGCCAGCTACATAGAGGGGAGTGAGGCCCACACAAAATGGATTGGAGGCTCTCAAATTCAGAATGTTTGAAAACACTGAGCTAACCTAACAAAACACACATGCAACAGAGTACTGACACATCTTGAGTAGGAAAGTTGGGTTAGATGTGCTTTTTGAGAATTCCTTTGGACAATGGCATGGGGAGTTGAGGCAGAGTGAGGAGAGGAAGGAGGCAGGGTCCCATTGGGAGAGGGCTGCAGCGATCTGGGCCAGAGAGCTCAAGATCTGGATTCGGGTGACTTGGCCCAAGGGGGGAAGCGGATGTATATTTCAGGCACATTTTGGAAGCTAAAGTCTCTATCAATGAAAAGAATGATCCTTTGGTATGATTCTACCACAGTTCCTTTATCAGCATACATTTTACTGCATCCAGGCACTGCTGGTTAATAGTGGTAATGAGTAAGCCACTCATGGAGCTTATGTCTGTTGCTGGCTATTATGAAGCAAATTTAGTAAAAGTTTAGGAATAAGACAGAAGACAATTCTTAGGATAAATGACTGTCCCATGGGCCAGATTTATAGAAAGTTGTCTGTTGTAAAGAAATTGGCTCTCCCCAAAAACCCACACTAAATTCCTGTGGTCTCTTCTTGGGCTTAGATGTGGGTGAGGCACTGTCTGTAAGATCTCACTTAATACTTCCTACTAAGCTTAGATAGGATTCAAGTTGGACCCCTGGTATCCTGAGCTCCTACCAGAAGGGGGCAGAGCATGGCCATACAGCGCTCCAGTAACCCACTGGCTGGACTTCGCACTGTGCCTCTCCAAGTAAATCGTAGTTGCCAAGGCACAGATATAATATGTTTTCATCCATGTTGTGTTTTTTATATATACGTATATTATATACTTTTTCTTTTAACAGGTGGTTACAAACAGAGATACACAAGAAACTCTCCTCTGCATGGCCTGTGTATTTGAAGTTTCAAATAGTGAACATGGAGCACAACATCATATTTACAGGCTTGTAAAGGACTGAACATGGTTATTTATATATATAGATATCTGTATATACACACACACATATGTGCGCACACACACACACTCTCTCCATTATCGAATGACTGACTGTAAACCTCACCACACGGGGGTGTGTGCCCTGGCCCTGAGGTCACCGCAACTTTTCTAAATCCTGTTTGAGTGAAGTCATTTTTTCATGTGTTCATACTATCATTGTAGCTGTGAAGTTTTGGTACAGTTGTAAAAAGAGAAATCGAGTTGTTTCTATGTGTTCTTCAGATCCACAGCCCACAGTTCCTCGGGAAGGGTAAACCTTAAGAACCTGGGTCTCTGTCTGCAGAGACTTCCTAATCGTGGTAGGAGAAAAATGAGACAGAGCTTTTGCCATGGGACGTTTACAGCCTTTATACAAATGTATTTAGTTCCTTTTTTTTTTCCCCAACATGAAATTCTTGTTTTAAAATACAAGTAAAATTAATCTTTAAATATAAATGTAAATTAGTACACAAAACTAAGAATCTTTAGATTTATCTTTGTAACTAATTAGGGTGGAAGTTATAAAAGAATGTAATTCACTAAATTATTTTTTAAATGAAACTTTTCTTTCTTTTTGAAACCAAATGTTAAAATATAGCCTTAAGAAATGCTTAGTAGAAATATTCTAATGAGACAAATTTGTACTTTTTTCCTCAAGGTTAAAACTAATCTCCTAATCCATTAAACTCTTGAACAGGTATTACAAAGGAGGAAAACTTCACCCCTTATCCTTAACATATATAGTATATTTAAAAAATATAAAATTGTATTGTACTAATGTGATGATTATTTAATGAAAAGGAAAAGATGACTCTTTTTGCAATAAGTAGATAAATACTGAAAATCTACACTTACAATGTTTATAGTCTTGTGTGTGCAGTTATATTTTATATGGACAACCAAATTTTTTATTAAGATGAGTAAATATTTGAACCACTGAAATTTAATGACAAAAACTTAAAATTGGCATAAATACTGCACTGTGAGCTGCAAAGTATAGAAAATCCTGTGGCTGGGAGAAATTTCATCAACCAAACAAGTAAAAGGCTCATCAGTTTTAGCATCTCTGCTCCCCAGAAAATTGTGAGCATCCTCACCATCCTGTGGATAAATTATTTCTGGTGAACCAATGTGCATACGAACCTGCTATAACAATATGTATGTGTATGTGTTTGCCTACACATATATACACATATGCATATATAGTTTATTCAACATGTATTTATTGAACATCTGTTTAGTGTCACTCAGTTTGCTAGGTGCTGATATGTATGTATATCTCAATCTATGTCCATAGATTTGGATATATTCTATAAGGACATCCATCTCCTTGACATCTGTCAGTAAGTCACAATACTTGTTTGACTGAGGTTTACGAGGCCCTGCTATCTATCTCTGACCTTTTCAAACAGGCTCATTTGGGAGGTTCTTTGGCCAGGAGAGATTCAACTTTCCAACCCAAATATTCCAAAGCATTGCCTAGGCAGAGTTGATTTGATGTGGCCACATGTCTTGGGTTATTTCTGTAAGTGCTTCACTGGGAAGGGTACAGGGCATACCCCCCAACTTTCCAGAGGAAAGTGACATTTTTATAATTGTCAGGAAGCTGTTAACTCAATAGAACATGAAATAAGTTTAAGTTCTGAAACATGTCAAGACTTTTTCATCAAACCAGGAAATAAAAACTTCATTCTATCACATCCAAGCAGCTTGCACACCCTTCCCTGTCCCTCTGCCTGTCCTGAACTGCTTGGATGTTGGTTGGTGTTTGGTGGTCATAAGCACAGGATGTGGCTGACTCCTGGCAAACAGAAGGACAGTAGGCCAAGCCTGACCTTCCCCAGACTCATCCCATTGGTCACTTGCCCCTGTGGATTATGCATCCCTTACAGAAAGCAGTAGGGTGGCTCCATCTTCCTTGTGCAGAGAGGTCACCATATGTTTCCTGATCCCACACGGGCCTTGAAGGATCGCCCTGTGGTCTGCACGTCTATCTGGTCTTCAGCCCAAACATTTAAGCTGCTTCCATGGTTGTCACATGTATGACCTCTCTTGGGCACCCCTCTTAGGGATGCTTCTTGTGCTCCTGTCCCCTGCATCTTTCCTCATGGGAACCTCCACCCTCCCAGGACCAGGACCCTATGAGAGTGTGCAGATGATCTGTTTTGGCTAAAAGCTAGACCACCCTGGAGCTGCCGGGGGAGAGGTGTCTGGTTCCTGTTGCCGCCAGAGTGGGGCCCTTCCTGTGCTGCCACAGAGAGCTCTTGCAATTTACTTTTCAAAGCACAAATAGGCTGAGACTGAAGAAGACCAGCTCGAGGGTCAGTCTGTTGACTGCAGACAAGGGCACGCCCCAGTCTGCCGAGCTCCCAGAGTCAGCCTGGGCTGTCTAACATGTCACCACCAGTGCTGTCTTCCTCCAAACGCCTTTGTACTTGAGTTTGGAGAGTTCAAACGAATGACTTTGAGGATCGCTTTTGCTTATTAAAACTCATTTAAGATCTCTTAAAGTTTTACTTCTTATTCTCCTAAAGCTTTTTCCAGGCAGATACTTCCTTATTTCAGGCACTGGTCCAGTTACCCAAACTCTTGGCCCTCCCTTTCCTGGGGTGGGATTTGTGTTATAACATCTAATCCAATTCTGTCTTTGGTTGTTCAGAGTCTTCTCTTGTCTGTACAGCTTTCTGAACCATAAGCCTTCCAAAGCTCTATCCACCCTGCTTGCTTCTGGATGCCACGCCTCCTGGTGACCCCCACTGCTGGAAGGGTTCAGGGGTTCCTGCACTTCCATGGGAGTCTGGAGGCCTCAACGGGCAAGGGCTGAAGACCTGCAATCAGGCCTGTTGGCGTTCATTTCCCTCTTAGCAAGAGATCTCAAGTAGAATCAGGACTTCTTCAAAAGCTGTCCCAGAACCCCATAATGTCTTCGCTGCCCTAGATTGGGGTTCCGCGACCCGACACTGTTGACATTTTGGACCAGATAATTTCTTTGTTGGGTGGGGCTGTCCTGTGCAATGTAGGAGATTCAGCAGCATGCTGGCCTGGGCCCACTAGATGCACGCTTCCCACAGGTTTTGTCATGACCCAGAATGCCTCCAGACATTGCACATGTCCCCTGGGGCACAGAATCACCTCCAGCTGAGAGCCACTGACCTAGATCTTACAGGTCCTAAGTACCACATTTGAGATTTTCTTTTTCCTTCCACTCACCCTGCGAAAGCTTCTCTCTTGGGAGCCTTGTTTCAGGCCACCAAGAGGCAGGTAGGACTCACTCAAATGACATTGTGCCCATTTCTTCCTGTGTCAGAACTTGTTTGTTACAGCAGAGTTTCTCTGCTGAGTATTCTTCACTTATCCCTGGAGAAGATAACAGCTGGTCACCATCATCCCTATAATCAACTCACACCTATACAAAGAGTCCTATTTCTAACTTGATCTTCATTCCTTAGTTTACCAAGCTTAAAAAATCCCAGGTTAAACAGTTCCATTCTCATTACTCCTCATAAGCTCATGGGTCTCATTCTCAAACCTTGACTCATTTCAGTAAATTTCCTCTGGTCTTCTACTTTCTGCCTTACACTCCATGCTGTTCATAGAATTTATGAAAGCCTCTGGAACATATCTTTGCATTTTTAGGGATGGAGGAGAGAGAGAGCAGTTCTGGAAGAGGGCCGATAGAAATTTTCTCTGCTGAGCTAAACAGCACGATCTATTCTCCATCATTGTGTAGATGAGAAAGTTAAGGCCCAGAGGGGCGATAACTTGCACATAGTTACCCAACTGGTTAGGGCAAACTAAGGGTAAGGCTCTGGGACCCCTGCCACTTAGTCCTTGGCCTCTTTTGGTGGAGGTTGTTCTTCTACGGTGCTCATGCTTGAACAATACCTAGAATGTGTGGACAGGGTCAGTGCACTAGAGAGGGAGATGAAGAAGCCCAGTTGGCCGAGCTTGGACAATGGCATGGGGAGTTGAGGCAGAGTGAGGAGAGGAAGGAGGCAGGGTCCCATTGGGAGAGGGCTGCAGCGATCTGGGCCAGAGAGCTCAAGATCTGGATTCGGGTGACTTGGCCCAAGGGGGGAAGCGGATGTATATTTCAGGCACATTTTGGAAGCTAAAGTCTCTATCAATGAAAAGAATGATCCTTTGGTATGATTCTACCACAGTTCCTTTATCAGCATACATTTTACTGCATCCAGGCACTGCTGGTTAATAGTGGTAATGAGTAAGCCACTCATGGAGCTTATGTCTGTTGCTGGCTATTATGAAGCAAATTTAGTAAAAGTTTAGGAATAAGACAGAAGACAATTCTTAGGATAAATGACTGTCCCATGGGCCAGATTTATAGAAAGTTGTCTGTTGTAAAGAAATTGGCTCTCCCCAAAAACCCACACTAAATTCCTGTGGTCTCTTCTTGGGCTTAGATGTGGGTGAGGCACTGTCTGTAAGATCTCACTTAATACTTCCTACTAAGCTTAGATAGGATTCAAGTTGGACCCCTGGTATCCTGAGCTCCTACCAGAAGGGGGCAGAGCATGGCCATACAGCGCTCCAGTAACCCACTGGCTGGACTTCGCACTGTGCCTCTCCAAGTAAATCGTAGTTGCCAAGGCACAGATATAATATGTTTTCATCCATGTTGTGTTTTTTATATATACGTATATTATATACTTTTTCTTTTAACAGGTGGTTACAAACAGAGATACACAAGAAACTCTCCTCTGCATGGCCTGTGTATTTGAAGTTTCAAATAGTGAACATGGAGCACAACATCATATTTACAGGCTTGTAAAGGACTGAACATGGTTATTTATATATATAGATATCTGTATATACACACACACATATGTGCGCACACACACACACTCTCTCCATTATCGAATGACTGACTGTAAACCTCACCACACGGGGGTGTGTGCCCTGGCCCTGAGGTCACCGCAACTTTTCTAAATCCTGTTTGAGTGAAGTCATTTTTTCATGTGTTCATACTATCATTGTAGCTGTGAAGTTTTGGTACAGTTGTAAAAAGAGAAATCGAGTTGTTTCTATGTGTTCTTCAGATCCACAGCCCACAGTTCCTCGGGAAGGGTAAACCTTAAGAACCTGGGTCTCTGTCTGCAGAGACTTCCTAATCGTGGTAGGAGAAAAATGAGACAGAGCTTTTGCCATGGGACGTTTACAGCCTTTATACAAATGTATTTAGTTCCTTTTTTTTTTCCCCAACATGAAATTCTTGTTTTAAAATACAAGTAAAATTAATCTTTAAATATAAATGTAAATTAGTACACAAAACTAAGAATCTTTAGATTTATCTTTGTAACTAATTAGGGTGGAAGTTATAAAAGAATGTAATTCACTAAATTATTTTTTAAATGAAACTTTTCTTTCTTTTTGAAACCAAATGTTAAAATATAGCCTTAAGAAATGCTTAGTAGAAATATTCTAATGAGACAAATTTGTACTTTTTTCCTCAAGGTTAAAACTAATCTCCTAATCCATTAAACTCTTGAACAGGTATTACAAAGGAGGAAAACTTCACCCCTTATCCTTAACATATATAGTATATTTAAAAAATATAAAATTGTATTGTACTAATGTGATGATTATTTAATGAAAAGGAAAAGATGACTCTTTTTGCAATAAGTAGATAAATACTGAAAATCTACACTTACAATGTTTATAGTCTTGTGTGTGCAGTTATATTTTATATGGACAACCAAATTTTTTATTAAGATGAGTAAATATTTGAACCACTGAAATTTAATGACAAAAACTTAAAATTGGCATAAATACTGCACTGTGAGCTGCAAAGTATAGAAAATCCTGTGGCTGGGAGAAATTTCATCAACCA